AGTTGAAATAGTGTGACAGGGAAGAGGACTCATCACATAGTAGTTTTCCCACAGCAGGAGAACAACTGCAATGTGAGTCTGAGCACAGAGGCTTAGAGAACAGCTGTTATTTGGATTTCTTTCTTCTTGGAATTTCTTTTTGGTTCTTGGAATCTTTTTTAGGGAGTCCGATGAATTCTGAATTTAGGCCAAATAACCTCCTCCTCTGTACTGAGTTTTAACCCATATTACTCTGTTTTAGATCCTTATGTGAAAAATCATGGGTTTATTAACCTGTTTATGTTTCATAAAGCCCTACAGGTACAACTTTGTTATCTTCAGTTAAAAACCTAATAACTGCCTTGCTGTATTCAAACAATCGTTATCTGTAATTATAACAACACAAAACAGTTGCACTGCAGTTCATCTGATGGAGAAGAGGAAGGAATTGTTTAAGCTAAGACAAAATATCATTGAACTCCTCTTAGCACTAACAGGACACCGTTCAACAAAACAAATCCTTGTCCCTGCAGAGAAAGCTTTGCATTTAAGTCTAGGCTGAAGGATTGCCCTGCTTCTGCAATAATGTTTCTAACTGAGATATTAACTACCAAAACAAACCTCTATTTGTTCCTAATGACACACATACAGTATCTATTTGTCTGTGCCCTTTAAAGGTTAGGGGTTAGGGGTTGCCAAATGGTAAAACTGACCATGCTTATTATGATGAGTAATGTAAACACCTTTAAAAGCAGGTGAGAGGACATCCCCTAGTAAAGAAAAACTATGTTGTATATGACACATATACTGTACTTTGAGGAAAGCTGCTGAAAGGAAGATTTGGGGTTCAACACTTAAAAAGCAGGACACGGCAGAGAAATTGCTGTTGTACCCCGGAGTAAAGCTCTTTACCAAGAATGCTTGAGTGTCAACAGCTTAAGACATGCATCAACCAATTAAAGTAATAATAATGTCCAAAGAGCGAATTGTATTGCAGAGTATTCAATTTATGCATTTTCGTGGTAGAAATCACTGAGATGTCTTCTGTGAGGAGTCTCTATTGGTGTTTTGTTTTGTAAATGAATGCAATCATGTTTTGTAAAAGTATTTGCATCCTGCTTCAAAAGCATTATGTAGGCAACAAAAGTTGGCCTCTTCCAGTTGAACCCATAATAAAAAAGATATGAAAGAAATTCAAGTACTTTCTTGGATATATAGTATTTTACAATATCTGAACAATGGCCAGGAAACATATTTGCAAATATAATTAAATCTACTTTCTATTGGTTTCCAATACTGTTACAATGTATTTCAATCTTCTAAGTACATTTTGTCATGATGTTTTGGCACCGAACTGATGTTTTGGTGTGCTTGTGTGAAAAATGTGTCCCTTTCAACCACGCGATTAAATTTTCATGCAGTGATACCCTGTGAGATTGCTGTATAAATGCTGTTTCTGAAAGCACTAAGGTAAGCTTATTTTTTTCTTATCCCAGTAGTTAAACTGTCCATTGGCCTAAGCTGGACTCTGGGAACGCTTGTGCCCATCCTTTACAGAGCTTTCCCTCGAAATGCACACTTCCCGATGCTTCCTATGAAAAGGAAGAATCACAAATCAGCATCAAACTGCATATGCTTAACCCCAGTTAATGCCAGACCTCTTCATCAATGACTCAACCATTTCTTGCTTATATATCCCGATTTGTTTATTTTTAGTCCCTCTCAGGTTTTGAATAGAAAATACAAAAAAAGCTAGGAAAATGAGATATTTACATGGCCAATGTCAGGCGATTATCGGGCCAGCAGGGAACTCGGCTTTCTCCTTAGAGGCAAATGTCAGAGCTCCAGCCCAGACTCGATTCAGACAGCTCCTGGCCAGTCTGACCGGGCCCTGTAAGGAGAGAGAGATGAGCAGTTTGGCTGAGAAGGTCCACATCCTCTTGCAACCTCATGCAGCCTTGATGCTCTGCTGTGGATTGCTGGTGCTGCTGGGGGTAGCGTGGAACATCTGGAACCTTGGAGTGGTGTCCCACCAGCTGTGCAAGTCAAAAACATATCAGACGGTGGACCTCATCATTTTGTGCATCTCCTCCTCCAACATCTTGCTGGACATCTCTGCATTCGGCTACCTGTTCACCATAGAATTTGAACTGCACTGCTTGAAGGAGCTGCACACTGTGGTCCGAACTATATTGTATGTGTTCTTCAGCACCACCTGCTTGAGTTTCTGGTCCATTACTTGGTTGTGCGTTTTCTACTGCGTCAAGATTGTCAACATCCCCATGGCTTTCTTCATCATCGTCAAGAGGAACATCTCGGGTGTCATCAACGCTGCTCTCATCCTCAGCGTCCTAGGGTGCCTTATCATGTATGCCCCTTTTTTCTTCTTTGAGCTGCCTTCTCATGCAAAAAACACTACAGCTAACGGCACCCTTAACATTGACTGCCCTGACCTAAAGGTGAATTTTTCAAGCCCCATAGACACAGATGCCTATCTCTACATCTTCCTGTGTTTTCTTTGCCCAATACCTCTGGCTATCATGCTGACCACTAGCATTCAGCTCGTGTCTCATCTCTGGAAACACACGAGGTCGATGAAGAAAAACGAGAATAAGTTCCAGAGCAGAGACTCCTACCTGCTCATCGTCAGAATGATACTCTCGCTGGTCTTTGTGTATTTGATGACGATCTGCATTGCTTTCATCTGCTTCCTCATACAGAAGCAGTCCAGCCAACTGGCAAACCAGATTCTTATTCCGAACATGTCCTTCTTCTGCATTGCTACAGGAATACTTTTGACCACCACCAACAAAAATCTCAAGGAGAAATTCACCACTGTGTGCTGTTGCAAGAAACCTCAGACTGAAACAAGAGTCAGCGAGAGATTAACCTAAATTGCATGATTTCTTTAGGAGTGGAATTCCACTTTTTGTTGTCTTATGTGTAACAAGGATAATGCAATATTATTTTGCTTTCTAGTTTAGGTTGACTGTGGGAAATGTGCTTTTAAGGTGGCCTAGTATCTTCTCATCTGCTAAAACTATTAGGAAACAGTCTGTAGCAGAGCTACAGTTTCCTGACAGGGATGGTTATGAGGAGAGTTCTCTTCCCTTTACCATGGAATGGACTATTTAGTGTAGCCAACTAACCTTCCAGCTTGTCTTCTGGAGGTGGGAAGAAACTGGAGTACCTGGAAGAAACCAACAGCAACACCCATACTGCACATGAAAAGGTACCTCAATACAGAATGAAATCCACAACTTCAGAGCTGTAAGATGGTAGACTTAACCACAAACTACTGTGCTACCCCCACAAGATTGACTGGTATACAGTATGGGAATTCTGGAGACATTACTTTTGTATCTGCAGATTATTTGGACATACTGTATTTTAAGAAAGATATATATATTAAAACATACAATGTTTAAGATAGATATCAAAATCATGCAGAATATGATGGCTTTGCATCATTTTTCTGTTTAAAAAATGCTGGGGTTTGTAGCAAAATGTCTCAAGTTTTCCAGTTTAAAAATATTTTTTAATTTTGCTAAAATTTCTTGACAGCATGGGAGAGAAAGAAACATACATTACAATGATAAAATGTAATTTTGTTTATTAATTGGTTAACATGTTGTCCTTTTTGGATTCTCTTAAAGGCAGTTTAATTATTACCAAACAGCGCTGAGTTCAACACAGATCATTTTTATAATTATTTAATATAGATTTTACATGTGTGACATGTTCCATGGTTTATTGGTATGAGAGAGGAAATATTTTAAACTGCATAATTCATGATGTTGACAATTTTATCCAGTCTTCAGTGGGATGCTTCCTGTATCACCAAGTTTTATAACACGAATATTACAGCAAACACAGACTATCCCAGTGAACTGATAAAGTATGTCTGCATTAGACATTGCCTATTTTATTTTGTAAATCATTTGCATCAGTAGTTTTGTTGATTTATTTATGTGAACTGCTCTTTAACCAATAAAATTTGGGAATGACTGCACATATAACATAGAGTATATTGTGTACAAATACATGTAGTATATAGGAATTCTAGAAAATAATATTAACAGACATGTCTGCTCACTGTATCATGTTGTGTACATATAAGCTGGCTCAATAATGAAGAATCAAAGAATTGTAGAGCAAAGCATCCAGTTTATGAAGTTCTCAGCTGCTGTGATCAATGTGTCTGGCAGGTGGTGAATTAATCATTTTAAAGAAATAGGTTTTGGATACGTAACTGTTTATTGTTTCTGCATGATTTTGTTTTATTCTTAAACTCCTAGATTCATGCATTCCTCTGTTTAACTAAATCGAAAATAAAGGAGAGGAAAACAGCTTCATAGATCACAAGTTCACAAACCGGAGACAGTTATTAAATTTGTTGTTTGATTATTTTTGTATGTGCAGGTATTTCTTCTTTCAGCAAATATTTTAGGTGGTCAGAAAACCTATTTAAATTAAAAGGCTACTGACTTATCATGCTTTTTTGTCCATAATCACGATTCTTTCCATATCCTAAGTGTAACATTGTGAGGAGAAGTCAGTGTAAAATGCAGAAGCAGTCTGGAGCTCATGTGATACAGAACGCTTGTGCAGCCTCCCCCACCCCTATCATTGAACCCTCACGCTCACATGCTTACAGCATGATTTCAGTTCAAATGCTGTCCAGTAAGCCCATTTGTACATGGGACTACCCCCCCCTGCTTTTTTATCTCTGGCTTCATGTCATCCTGCCTCTTTCTACAGTAATTTTACTGCACTAGGATTCCATTATATCCCCCAGTGTACTGAGCCACCATTGGTTTCATTTGCATCTCCTCCTCCACTCATCCAAGATCCCCTGATTAGTCTTCAGCTGTGTCCCAGTCCCAACAGATGCCTTGTGGGAGTGCATTCTGTTGCAGGATAATATCCCATCAGGGAAAGCACAGGCCCCTGTCAGGTTTAAACCAGGCACTGTTCATGAATTAAGCATGAAAGTCACAACAACGGGAAATCAACACTACAGATTTTTTTATGGTATTGGCTTTTCTCCTTTATTAATGCGTGTCTTTCCACTGGGTTTAATTCCATTATAAATGCACGACTGGAACTTGCAATTTTAAGGTATAAGGAAGTAAAAAACATAGGCAACCACAAATTTACTGTTTAGGTATATACGCTTTATGAGGGAACATTGTAGTATGTTTTTTCATGGCACCTTCACCACGCTTTGGATATACAAAGGAAGCACAGTTATAAACATTAATGTAAAATTTGGATATGCAACTCAACCTAACCCAGCAGAACTGCAGGCCTGAATCAGGTAAACATTTTCTGGATCCTGGGTTTGAGGAATTCCAGCATGCCATTCTGCTCAAATATCTTGGGCAAGTCCTTGGCATTCATGATGGTCTTGTGGGCTTCGTCAAAGAGCTCTTTCCCAATTGCTTGTTTCACTCGGTCCCGCCACACACTCAGCTTTGGTCTCTCCGCAAAGATATCAAGGCCAGCACCTACAGGCTGCGGAACATGAGAGAACAGACGGATTCCTCTTTAGACAACGCTGAGCACGGAAGAGACATGCGGACTCCTAACATCAACTTAATCAATCCGGCAGCTCTGAAGACACACCAAATCTTTTGATTATTCACCGATGCATCTGTAACAATGACTACAAGATTAAGATGTTTGTGCAATACAATTGACTTAAAAGGAATTACTCTAAAATAAAGACTGGAATATATTCAGTGAAAAGAGAGGCTTTTATACAATTAACACACGATGCATTGGAAGAGCACAAAATTGCTGTAACAGGTTTCCAAATAGCTGTTTTAAAAAGTTCCAAAAAGGTTTTTAAAATCAGTTTTATTCTGAAAAACAAAATCAATGAGAATTATACAGTACATTATTCATAGTATTTCAGACAGTCAGGAATTTCCTGATCCTTACCTGCATCATCTCCACTATGGCCACAAGGTCTGCCAAGGAGATCTGCTCGCCAATGATGAAAGGCCTGTCCTGCAGGAACTTCTCCTCAAACAGCTTCAGAGACATGTTGAGATCCTCCAACAAAGAGTCCATCTTCTCTTTGGGAACTTCTTCTCCAGTTATAATGGGAACCATGAGCTGAAACAGCACAGTTAAACATTACTTAACTTGCATCAGATTCATAAATGAGATTTGTGAATGCTCATTTGCCTGGAGTAAGGTTTAAAGACCTTTTTTGCCAATGTTGAAAAAGTACTGTACTGTAGTTTGCAGAAAGTGATGAAAAGGCAACCAAATTAACATTTAAAAGTAAAATATATGTACTGATCCAAAAAGAAGCTCAACAAAACATTCAGGTGATCAATATGAAATACCAACATCTGAATGTCTGCTATTTGCTTGACTCTTAGTACAGTCTAATTTTATGCAACTCATTTAAAAGCACCTCAGCATAATTTTACTGGGATGACCTCACAATGCTCCCAAAACGCACCTTGAACCAGAAGTACTTGGACCCTTGCATTCGGATCGCAATGTGCTGCCAGGATAGGTACTCATTGACCCTGGCTCGCTTCTGTAGGTCACAGGGGTACCAGTGGTCTGGCATGTTGAATTTCTGAGCCAAGTAGGACAGGATCGCAATGCTGCAACACAGGAAAGCAGCAAAAAACAGTTTTTTTTAAAACAAAAAGTGGAACCTATTTACCTCAAATGATCCATTTGACCAGCCAAACACCGACAAATCCGCAAATCACCATAGAAAAAAAAAAAAGATCAATGCAGCAGTTTTAGATTTTTAGGACACCAAATCTACAAAACCAAAAACTACAATTCTTCACATTTCTTCTGTAGAATAATAGGGTGTCGGCAAGTTGTTGTTTTTTTTTTTGCCTGATTTAGAAAGTGAAGGGATATTTCTTCTCTTTCACATGCAGACTTTTAAATGATTTTACAGAAACTGTGACAGATTTTTTGTGGAACATAAAAATTGTACAGTATATACCACTGACTCACACTGATGTATATTTGTTCTCTACGGTGTATGTTGTTTAACTTGTTGTTGCTGCTGCCAGTGCTCTGTGTTTTTGTTTTTGGCGTTTCCTTGATGTCTTTGTATAGAAGCACACATGCAAATAAGCATTTCATTGCACTTGTGCACATTACAATAAACTCTACTCTCTATATGCTATCATGTACTCCAACCTTATGCTTTACATTTATCTATCAAAAATGCAGGATGCTATGAGGTAACCCTCCTTCAGTTTAAAATGAAAAGACTACGAAAAACCTAGTGTCCAACCCCACCAGGCACTAGTAGAGTAAATCTCCCTCCATATTTCTTAATTTTCAATACTCAGTGCCAACTAATCCAACTAAGAGCCAGTGATGCCATCGCGATCTTTGACTATTGAACACTCTTACTCTCCAGAAGGTTTCATACCTTTCTGCCAAGATGAAGGCGTCATCTTTCATGACTGGAACCTTCCTCAGTGGGTTGATCTTACCGAAATCCTCCTCATACTGTTGGCCTATGAAAAGAGGAAAGATGGTGTGAAGTGGACGTAGCTGGGAAAGGAAGCGAAGGAAAAAAAAAAGTCCAGAACTCGGAGATAAACAGCTTTTAACTGCTGAGGCAAGACACTTTTGAGCTTCAAATCGTGTCAGATCAGCACAACCTGGTGTTGAGTTTTAGCTCCGCCTGGGGTATGTTTTGTGTGTAGTGCAAGAGGACAGTGAGTTCAAACAGGATGAGAGCCTAAACCCCCACTGGAAGCTGTAAGGAATGTCCTGCCATCCTTCAATCACAACCAATTGGGAAGGGAAGTTTAAAAAACAAAGCCTGATAAATTCCCGTTTCAGTCAACTTCTGCCATCTAGAAAGAGGGCAGACATGCACGCTGCACCAGTGGGAGAGGGTACAGGGACGGACAGGGTGGTGGACGTTTTCAGTTCTGGTGATCATTGTAGTGCCAGTAAACAGCTTAACCGCCCAAGATTAAAGAGAGGCCTCGTAAGGAAGTCTGGCGATTTATATTTTTTGGTTGTTTTGTCACCATATTGTAACTGAAACCATTACCAGATATTTTGTGCCTTTTACAAATAAAGACCTACCTAGAAACAATTCCATTTGCAATACCCTGCTCTCGAGAGGATGGCAAGGAGTTCACATGTTCTCCCTAAGTTTGCATCAGGTGGTCCAGTTCCTCCCACCTCGTGATATGGAGTTACTTGGTGCCCCAGTTGTGCCTGTCATGTGTGCTGTGATGGACTGGAGTGCTACTCAGGGCGTAGTCCCACCTTGCACACTGTGCTTCCATGATAAGGCTCATGGTAACTCTAAGCCTACCAGAAACGTGGCTCTGATAATCACATAGAACTACCAGTGTGGTCATCTGCATTCTATGAGAAAGGGATAAGGTCTCCTTTTTTACTGTTCAGAAAAATCTTACTGTTAGTCATTTTTTTCAAAACTCGATATTTTTCAGATTTTTTAAACTTAATTAACTTGAAGACTCCCTAAAAGAACTGCGAGAATTCCAAGTGCTGGCGACTCCGATCGCTTGAGTAAAGTGTCAGCGTCCTGCAATGAGCGAAGTGGCGTTTGCACTGAAACAGTTTTTGAATGCATTCATTACTTTTCCCAGCCATACATTGTGAAAACCATCAAACAGGGGTTTCATCAAATAACAGGTAATATTTTCTTGTGCTGTATATCTTCCCCTCGTAAACGCACTTCTCTATGTAGGGATCTAAGCATTCCCCCCACAAACATTCCCTAACTGATGCTGTAGACTGCGCTGGCATCCTCACGAAAGCGCCCAGAGGAGGCTGATTTTTTATAAGCCTCCAAGTTCCGAAATGAAGATGGGAGTACAGTGTCCAACTCGTCGTGTTACTTTTCTCTTGGAATTCCTTCATCGCGTTGTCTTCTGCGCAGCAATGGCCTGAGTCTCTTGGCCAGCTCGTCATCGTGAGTGAGAATTTCTTCTCAGCCGCCATCTCTTATTAAGTAAAGGATTAAAACGGGGGAAAAAAAACTTTTCTCTTGGAAAGCGAGCGATATATTAGTTACCATAACACAGCAGGATTCCTCCCCCCAATCATGTTAACGACCTCCAGTTTTGCGCTCGTCTGTTGCGAGTGAAGCACTGACCTTGTACCTTTGATCCAGTTGAACTGCACTACCTTTCACACACATACTGTATCTGCCTTTTCAAAGGCAATTGAGTTTTACTGGAGAATTGGTCTGCAAACGCAACCGGAGCATTTCACAACAACTGGGTGAAAGCTGCGCTATTTACTATTCTCTTCAGGACCATATTCCCCCCAACATTTCCAGACTCACTTTTTATAAGCAACAGGAAAAAAAAAAAACATTTTGAAAGGAACGAGTAATAGGTTTATTCTATGCTGAAAAAAGAAAGAAAACACAACGTTTCGGCTGTGAAGCTTCTTCAGGTTTTCAGCATGGAATAAACCTACAACTTGTTCCTCTTCTGAAAGGTATGGCCATCGTGTGGTGAACACTTCCGAATCCGAATATCCTTTTTTTTTGTTTGTTTGTTTTGTTTTTTGTTTGTCACCGTTTGCTCGAGTCCTCAAAGTAATCATTTAAAGAAATTGCTAGTTTTAGCAAAACAGCCTACACTCGCTGCATGTCAATGTCATTCATTCATAAGACGTGTTCTGCAAATTTAGCCGTCGTATCGTGTCAAATGGAGGCTTTGCTTTTCACTTCACTAAAGCTAGAATAACGTCTCAACATGCAGCAGATAAAGGGATTGCAATGCTACACTTACCAAGACCGCACCATCGCTTTCCAGCACATTCCTGTCACATTAAGACCCAGACCAGGAAGGAAAAGGGGGGGTGCCCATCTAATTTCCTTTGGCTCCGTTAACGACAGGCGAAATAGCGTCCCAAGCATTACTATGCGCCACGCCAGTGTTAGTATCTAAATCATTCAAACGGACGCGCACTACACTGCTTTTCAAGTCGGTTAAGTGCCTTGGCTTAATGGCCAAGGCAGTTAATTCTCAAAGTTACAAGCCTTGCAACGTCTGTAGCTATATTACAGCAAGACAGCTACAAATCTCAAAGTTGGGGGTATAACAGAATACCAACTTGCTGTTGTATGAAGCACTGGGCTCCAAAGTTCGGCAATACTCAAACTTAAAAAGCTAAAACATACTGAATCACTGACGTTTACCTAGGTTTTTGATTCTCAATTCACAGCGTGTTAATTTGACATTGTGAAGAGTTGTAGATTTAAGAACATGCCAGCACCGAAATTACTAACCGAGTACGGAATACTCTGACTTTCGTGCAATTTTAATAATTACTTTCCCTACAATTGTGAATTCGGTTAAATGCTTACTTGCGCGACTATTTTTGTTAAAGACCAACAACTACCCACTTCTGATTTTTGGATATTAGCGGACTGCAGTCAGTCAGTTAAAAATGCGAGCTTCAGATATTTGGCGCTGCGGGAAAAGAATCGCATTATACTGCAAAACTCTTTAGGATATCGATATCTTTAGAAGATCAAGCCTAAAATAATAATAAAAAAACCCGTAAACAATGGTTTTCTCACCCTACCTTCTGCCAGCGCAACTTTCTTGAACTCAAAGGGAATGTTGTTTTTCTTTGCGAATATGTAAACAGAGCGACACGGCTGAGAGAAAAGGTCTAGATAGAGTTCGAGTACCATGTTGCCTGTACGAGAGCAGCTGTAACAATGAAGAGCGCTCAATAATCCCACGTCCCGCTTAACCATTTTATCCCCATAAGAGAAAGCGCCTCCCTACCGTCTATGCCAATTATTTACTCACTGCATTCAAATCTTCGGCTCCATAAATACGCTTTCTTAGCTGTTCCCAGCACATTGCAGTCTTGCACATTAGACTTTCAGACATCTGCATACGTTTTGAATCACTGATTAGGGCAATCGCACATCTCCAGATAAAAAAGACCTTCGTAAAATGTACAGTATGTAATGAGTACGACGGCGTTGACTCAAAGTGATTCCAGTTGTTAATAATAAGTTAATTAGTGGGATAATGGACAGGATGAAGGAGTGGAATGCACACTTGGTGATTTTGAGTACCCTTTTGGATTTAAATCCAAAATCCAAACCATACTCTTAAGAAACCATAAATACGTGTTTCATATTAAGAGTTAATATAATTGTTTGATTCCAGATACTAAACCTGATATCTGACACAGACTTTACAGGAGAAACAGGTGGTATTGGCAAGCTCGGTGCTACTTTAGAAAATGCGAAACTGCAGTAAATCTGTATGCAGACCAGTGACCAGTTGGTTTACAGGTGTAGTTGTTGTGCATTGATCTGGAAACCTAGGTCTGAGAGGGCAAGATGCAAGGAAGATGCAGAATTAATAACTGTAATCTTATAATAACCCTCCATTTACTAAGGACTGTGACCAAACTACTGCTTGGTCCTCTCAAGTTTAAGTAAATGAAATGGTCTTGATCTCTTTTTTTATAACTGTTTTCACTCATTGAATACAAAAGTCCCATGAAAACACAGCTGTGATAACGAGACCATAACCAAAGCACAGCTATCCCAATATGCTCTGGTCACTAAATAAAATTTGATCTTTCAGATTTAAAAAGACCTCAGGGCAATTTGACAAAATAATTCTTTCTTATGGGCCATAGGTGAACAATCCAGCCTTGCATCTTAAACATCTGAGACTACAGTGGAAATTTGCATTCAGATAGTGCCATTTCCATGGACCATTAACAGATTACATCTGGCCTTTCTAAAAGAATGAAAAAGGAAAACTTCTTTAAAAGCATTTTAGTTGAAGGCACTGCTGTGATACATGTCTTACAGCATATGGACATTTAAAAACATGGGTACTCCACATTTCTTATAGCTGGTTCTTTTTCTGTGATGATATCAAAGATGAGGACACTCAATGAAGCTTGTTACTTTATTGTAAGTGTATTTGGAGAGAATATACTACTTGCATATCTGCATCTGTTTGGAACTCCATTTGATGCCAGTTATAGTTACATAAAATGTCACCTTGCTGTAATTACTATGAAAACAATTTATTTTGAATCTCCCTGTGGGTGCCCTTTTTCTCTTCTTTTGACATTCATTTTGAGGTTCAAGCCTGTCCTGAAAGAATGAAGAGAGGCTTTTCAATTCAGCATTTTCTTGACCCTGGCTTTGAAGAACTCCAGCTTGCTCTTGTCCAACATCTGGCTGATGTCTTTGGCTTTCAAGATGGCCGCGTGAGCTTCGTCGAAGAGCTCTCTGCCAATTCCCTCCTTCACTCGGTCACGCCACGCGCTCAGTTTCGGCCTCCCCTCGAAGATGTCAAGACCAGCAGCTACTGGCTACAATGCACGAGGAAAACTAGGGTAAGATATCATCAAGATGTAGGGTAAGATGTGGTAAGAAGCCACAATCTACAGGGTAATCAGTGTCAGACCGAGTTGTGAAACGTCTGGATTTCTAAACAGACTTTAAAGAGCTTGGACGAATCTCAAGTCGCATCCAACCAAATACAAATGTGACCAAGGAACGTGGCCTTTTCCCAGCATTCCCTTTATGCTCCTCTACTGACTTTACAGTCAGTTCTTGGCTGGTGGCTGGGATTCTGATAAAGCCAAGCTGTAAAGCTGCTCTGAAATTAAATTACTCAGATGTTTAGTGAAAGGGACTAATTTGGGGACTGACATAGCAGTCGCTATAATGTTTCATATTTAAGATCTCATGGAACATATTTCCTGTTGAAATACAAGGATTACATTAAACCATTTGAGTAAAATAATTATATGACACATTTTTTTTTAATGGGGGCACTAATGACCATTTGTTGTGACAGATTTCCACTTTACTAGGTTGCTGCTCCTTTAACAGGTCAGGTAGCCTCCATACAACAGGTATGATTATTCTAAACTTTCTGGGAAATGCACAAATATGTCAAGGGCCAAACTGCATGTCTTTTGAAGGGCTACGTCTTTCCCATGTATCTGTAACCTTCCCTTAACCTTACCTGCATCATCTCCACTATGGCCACAAGGTCTGCCAAGGAGATCTGCTCGCCAATGATGAAAGGCCTGTCCTGCAGGAACTTCTCCTCAAACAGCTTCAGAGACATGTTGAGATCCTCCAAAACAAAGTCCATCTTCTCTTTGGGAACTTCTTCCCCAGTTATAATAGGAATCATGAACTGGAAGAGCACAACAATTAAACACATTTTAGTATAACCATGAGACACGCATTAGTTCAATTCTTATATGTTATCTTGTCTAGAGTTCACCATGAGGGGAAACCAAAGCATCTAGTCAATATGGAAAATCTTTAAAAAGAGTCAGACACATCAATCTGAGAAGATGGAATCCAGGGTCTGAAAAAGAATGTTTTCAGATTTATCAATACTGATTTAAGAATTAATGTCTGACTTCTGTGAAAACAGGTCCTATTCTAAAAACACAGAATTCCTTCACATATTTTTCAAAGTAAGATTTAAAGTAATTTAAGGCACTAATTAATGGAGAATGAAATTCATGACCATGTCTCAAGAATGGAAGGAAGCAAAACTGGAAGGTGGTGTTAACATACTGTAAGCAGAAGTAAACTATTAGACTAATATGGAAAAGACCTTGAAGACCATGTACACATAAGATCATAACAGAACAAGGTCTCGTCAGTGTTGATGTGCAGAATAGAGGGATAATTTAATCCCCTGCACCACTAACACATCTTTACATCACTTACTGGATTTATATCCCAGGTACACCTCAAGAGTTCCACTCCTATCTTATCTCCACTTCTTCCAGAGAGTGGAAGCAGCCAATCAAGATGAAATTCAGCAGCTTTACAGGTATTTCATCACAAACATCCTATAGACCTTTGAGGTCCAGGGCAGTCCACTCATGAAAAAGGGCAAAGTACAGAGTGAAAAGTAAAGATAAACTTTTTTAATTCTGGAAATCTCCCTTCAAGATCACACCTTAAACCAGAAGACCTTTGATCCATTAGCTCTGACTGCAACGTGCTGCCAGGACAGGTATTCGTTGACCCTGGCTCTTTTCTTTAAGTCCGATGGGTACCAGTGGTCTGGGGTCTTGAATTTCTCAGCCAGGTACATAAGGATCGCAATGCTGCAGCACAGAAGAGCACAAATGAGTTAAAAAAGAACCACTCCATATTGAAAAGCATGTTATTCGTGTCAAGGATCATGAAACCTGAAGCCTATCCTGGAAACACAAGCCGTAAGATGGGACACCTTCGCGTAGAGGATGCCAGTCCACGATAAGAAGAGAACAGACACACCAAATTTAGAATTATCAGTGAATCTAACCAGCGTGTTTGGAAGTTGGGAGGGAACTGAGAGAACTCTGTACAATACAGGGAACCTCTGTGCACTAGTCTGCAATCAAATTGAGGAGCTCATGAGGCAACCATGCTAATCACTACCACCATGCCTGCCTGAGAAAAGATCAATAATTTGTAAACAAGTACTTTAAATACACTTTTACTCAGACGTACAGTATGAATAACACCTGGAATTACTAATGTAAATGAACAGAAATTCAATTTTTAGTGGAATTCCATTTTTTTCTGGTTTTAGTGAAGGGGTAGAATGTTAAAAATGTTAACTTATTTGGCTGATGGTTTTAGCCAAAGAGATGTATACTTATACCCATTTATACAGCTCCATTGCACTGGAGCTCTCTGAGTGAAAGGCCTTCCTTTATAGCAGCTGGGCCACCTGACATTTGAGCCAAAACTTTAGGACTTCAAAGACCTAACCACACCTCCACATTGCTGCTGCAGTATGGAGTGTTTCCTATAATACCTGGGAAAAAAAATACATTTTGACCTTCAGGCTAGTGTACGTCTGCAAAAGCAGGCATTTGTGATTGTACATGGAGGTATTTTATGAACTGCTCAGTGTAACACCGCTCCATAAGGACACATAACTATTTCTGTCTAAACCTTTAAGCAGTTTGCTGTGTGCTCTGTGGCACTTTAAGAAAGAAAAGGCCAGTTGGTTGCTTTCAGCCACCTCTTTCATTAAATAATCAGGAAGCCCAACCTGTTGTTCCAATTCATTTCAGAAGGTCAGGCTCACTCACGGGAAAGAGAACAAAGGCGGACTCTTTTGTACCTGATAAGCACTATAGTTAATTGAATGTTTTTGTGTAGACAATACCCATTCTATGGTCTGGTAATATATAAAGGGGTAATCTTAATGGGCACACTATAACATTGTATGGTATTTCTTATTTTTGTGAGGAAACTTTCTCTTGTGGTCTTCCGTTGGAACATTTTAGATAATAATTGAAATGAACTCTATGTTTGAATGGATATACGCCCACACCTACTGTATATGGATTATGTCAAGTGGTTCAGAGGGTGGTGGCACAATACAGCTGTTTATCTTCACCACGGACTGTTAAGATCTGACCAGCTTTAACCTTACATTACATCTTGAAGCTCCAGGTTATTCAGAGGATATCATCCTCCTCCCACACATCTCTGAAGGACTTTCTTTTCCGGTAATGTTTTGGATTTGATGGACTAACACAGACCTGTATGGTCCTTAAATGGAGTTTATATTTTGGTTGAAAGTGAATGTGCATGTGATCTGACTTATTTAAAGGGTTGTGTTTTTTAGATTTAAGCTTATGTACTTGTTATCCAAATGAATCAGGGGTGTTGAATTCAATTTCTGCATGACTTACTGAAATGCTGAGATAGCACCATTGTAACAATCATAACCAGTGAGACGTTTTATAAGTAACTGTTCCTTTAATGAAATGAATATGGCAAGTAATGAACTGTAAAAGTCGATGAAACACACTGGATACCGTATGTCAAGCTAAACAAATTCAGGTTACTGTTTTAATTGATTGCTCTGTTTGCAACAACAACCATGAAACACTAGACCTTCCGAGAAATGATTCTGACACCCCTGCTGTAAATATACTTCTATCAAACATAACTTTTTATTTAATTTCATATCACTAAACACTGTACCGGTGAGTTTTAATCACAGGGAGTCCACAGGGCATGATGGCCCCTTCATAAAAGTACAGTAAAAAAAAACTCAGAAGAATAAAATACATAATTCTGATAAATTAGCCACTACATTGGAAACGCTTGTGTCATACCACAAACACATGACATGAAAACCAGTCCTAGTAACTGTTTTTGTTTTCTTGTTTTCACTTCAGTTTTTTCTGAGAGCCCTTTGAAACTCAAATCTTTTCTTTAAAATGAAATAATACTTTTACTCATGCTTTCTTACATGAATACCGAGAGGCACATGGCCAGCACTAGCACCTTTGTGTTCCCAAACTGTAACTGCAAAATGTGATCTTCCTGACCTTTCTGCCAAGGTGAAGTCTTCATCTCTCAAGGCTGGGACTTTCCTCAGTGGATTGATCTTTCCGAAATCCTCCTCATACTGTTGGCCTGAGGGGTGAAATAGTTCAAGGACATTGGGGGGAAAAACATTCCTGCACAGATCTGTCAATTTGTCATGGCGAGAAATGGACACTTTTGTATTCATTAGCTGTTACTGTTTCTTGATTCAAATAATTTGTGTGTGTGAGCGGGACCAAAATTTACTGATTTGCAAATGTACCTGCATATAGTACCTAACAGGAACGCAATACCTGATTGTACTGATAGCAGGTCTTGGAGAACATAAAACACCAGACATGTAAATAATTATACAATGACAGACATGATCTAATCTTCCAAAACCTGGCTCCTCAAGGTTAATTCTTTGTTTACATTAGGTGTCCAGCTGCAAAATCTTTCAGATACCCAGGTAAAGACCATCTCACAAACAAATAAATGAACCTACATCACGGCCTTCTATATCTGGAAAGATTCAGGGACACAGCAGGTAGTGTGAATTTCTCTGACTCTAGCCTGTAGAAGTTTTGACTCTGATTAGAATAATGCTCAGGAACTAGTAAAAAAGAGTCACTTGTTCGGTCTTGCCAGTGACATCCTGCAGAAAGGCTTAATTCAGTCACGGATAGTTTTTATCTGAATTATCATCATGTTTCAGTCCATCACAACATTATGAAAATAAGCATGACCCAACATTAAACTGCACACAGATGTAGAACAGTAGTGCTTTTGTTCTAAAATGTATCCAGTCAGTCTCGATCCCTTCAAGAGCAGTGGTGCTGCACAGATGTCCAACAAAAGAGGCAAATTAAAAAAAAATTAAATCGAAACAGCTCAGGATCTATCCAAACGTCTTCAAGTGCATGGAAATAATTGTTTTTTTTAATTTACAGCTTTCACCAGGGTTAATCAGGACATACAGTAGGTCTTCTGTGTTTTCCATACAAATGCCTCACATTAAGTCAAATTTAGTGGACCTCAGTCACTGAATTCACATTCCGTTCTTTATCCTTCAAATTAGTCATTTTATTATTCTAAAGAGTACTTCGACTACAAAATACATTTAAGAAAAGCAATAAAGCTGAATAGCAAACTACATACTGTAAATTACATCAAGAACCTTATTCTAAAGGTCTGATACCATTTTACAATCATCCATCATTAATCTGTATGGCTTTTATTTTTTTCCAGATCAATGCATTTCAAGGTTCGAATATCAGTTTCCTTCCACAAAATGTTTTGGAACTGCGGAAATATATCTTAACGCCTGCTAGAACTTCCTTGTTGATTCTAGTCTGATTTCTGCTTTTTTGATATTGTTATATGCAAGATTTAATTCTGTTTGAGCATTTTGTGAACATAACTTTTTTCTTGCCTTAAATACAAGCTATATGGACTAAATACCATGCATATGAGCTTTCACTAACATATTAAGGCTATGTTCTGAAAAACATGTTGATGTTTATCGATTATAATATATTATTTATTCTTATATAATAATATAATATATATCCTAACTACAGTATAGATTCAATTTAGTAACAGAAAGTATTGTGTGCGATTAGTTTAAAGTTTTTTGTAAAAAAACGAACGAATCTTTAGGTATGCCTACTACTGCTCCTGCTCAATACACGGAACTTCAGTGGTAACCCTACAGTACGTAATTATGCAACTTTTTCCTTTTTAGTCTATGTTTGCATTGGGCCCGAGATCGCACAAGTAAAAGTAAAAATATGAACCTACAATGGTACTCAGGATTTCATCAACCGGACTGTATACTGTATATATCTTTTACAATCTTGTGACTGAGACGTTTCGGCAGTTAGAGCACAAACTTGACCTCGACTGCTGGTTTTAAGACGATTGCAACGAGTTGCAAATCAAATATTCGCTCATCCAGACTTTTTTTCCGTACCTTCAAACAGCTTGACGTTCTTGAGCTCAAAAGGGATGTTGTTTTTCTTAGCAAACATGTAAACGGAGCGACACGGCTGAGAGTACAGATCCAGATAGAGTTCGAGCACCATCTTGAAGCTGGAATAACACCCCACTACAGGGAAAAGCTCAAATCTGGTTTCGCTGGTTTTCTGTAAAACCTACATTTTACGACCAACCGATCGTGACACAGCTCCCCTAGTGTGTTCTTACTCTTACTTCTGCTTTTTAAAGATTTTAAATATCCTTTCATTTAAAGAAGAACTACATTAAAACGACACTACAGCTAAAGTAATGGTGATTTAGGGAGTTATTTCTAATTAGTAACTATACAGTATTTTACCACCACTGCGGTTGTATTTGAGATTTGCATTAAAAACAAACAGCTTTAAAACATTTAGAACGACATTCTGGTATATTGCACCCCCCACGCTTACGAAACCAGATCAATAGTTTTTTTTCCCCCTATACACATAAGATACAATGTGCTGTTAAATGCAACTTTAAAATGCAACAAGAATGTAACTTTCTAACGCTCTGTATAAAAGCTCAGCTCAGCTTTTTGAAAGAAATGTTAAAAACACACACACAAATACGAGCGCTCCTGAATATCGAGTGCATTGAAAAACATTTGCTATCAACTATTCGTATTTGCCTGGCGGCTATTCACATTTTAATGTAGTTAAAAATGCACGCATGAATTCGGTGCTTCATACATTGTGAACCCAGTCTAGTGTTTGCTTTGTTAAAATGTCACATTCTTTATTACTCTAAACGACTTTTAACACATGATAATTACTTCTAACCTTGAAGGACAACAGCCTTGCACATATTTCATGGAAGTTTTCACAATGACTAAAATAACTGGAAAAATGATTGTATAAACAGATTCAATTCAATCGGGAGCTCAGGTTGAATCCACAATGGCCACGTGTTGAAGACAAAGAATGAGCATCAGTACAACAGTATAAATGTCTTGAACAGGGCGTTTACAGTGGCTTGAGAGGCTTTCGTGTGTGGCTTGGTTTTGGGCTCTCAAGCAGAAATCTAGAAAGCAGTGAGAGAGAAAGGCAGACCCCTGATTTACGAGGTGTTAACTGCAGGTTATACTGAAGCGCAGTGCAAAGCATTGAAACGTGCAGTGATAATTAAGCATCAATACATGAAGGATAATTATACTGTAATTATAAAAAGCACAAAAACAGACGACATGTTTTCTAATTCGGATCACAGCAGGACAGAAATGAAGCGGTCAGCTGAAATGACCTTTGGTTTTGGAAGGTGCACTGAATGATATGAAGCATGGGGGGAAAGTACCCCTACTCGGGTTTTAGTGATGATCTGAATGAGATGGGAGGCTGCAGGAGAAAAATACCTTTCTGTAGTACAAAACTCTTTAGTTAACCATGCTGGGACTCCTCTTTATAGGGTTTATAGGGAATATTCCTCACTTCTCTTATTCCCTGTGAACTGAATAAAACTGCATTTTACTTTTACGCAGCTATAGTACAACCAATAGTGACCTTCATATCTTGCTTAATGGGCAAACCTTTCTGGCTGTACATTTATTTTTTGTTAAAAAAGTGGCAATACAGTTGGTGATCAATGGTTGTCCCATGTATAGCTGTAAATAACTTTAAATATCAAGCTTTACAATATTAATGTTTTCATTTATTAAGGACCATACTATCATTAAACAATGATGTGGCTAAAATAACCCATATAAAATGTATCTTAACAATAAGGGTTGTGTAACAGAGCTGCAGTTCCAAGTTCAATCAGATAAGTTTTAACTGTTGCACATTCCCAAATTCCTGATTTCAAAACAGACTTGACCGCCAAGACAAACAACCCCCACTTGCCTTTCCCCACAGTGCAAAGTCAAATTACTGGCTAAAGCTGAATTTAAATTCAGAAGTAAACTAATAAATGTACTGTTAATAAATTCACTATTAGATTTTTTAACTTTAAT